AAGTATTGTAATTATAACTTTCTTCTGATGTAAATGGTTTTTATTATTTATTTCTAAATTTTACGGGCCCAATTTGATCTGATATATTTATTGTCGTGTACAATATGTGTGAATCTGTACACATATATTAGGGGTGAGCAAAAAAACCGAAAAACCGAAAAACCGAACCGAAAACCGAAAAAATCGAGCCGATATGTACCGTCTCGACTTAAAACCGCATATACGGTAATTTTTTTTTGAAAAACCGAAAATATCGGTTTGTGTACGGAGAATTTAAAAATTACCGAACCGATTTCCCGAACCGAACCGATTTATAAAAAATGATGTATTTTTGATATATATTATAAATACTTATCCTAGCGTGCCTCTATCTTTCGAGCGCCTCCATGTGACATCTTTTTCTATTAATTAATTTTGGTTGTGACGTGTTTTTTATTAGTTAATTTTCGGTTGTTATTTGTTAATTTTCTCAAATAAATATAATGAAAGTCCAAATATATGGGTTTTATGCCGAACCGGTTCGAACTAATAGACGAAATCGAAACCGAAAATAAACCGAATTGATACCGAAACCGTTTACCGAATACCGAAAAACCGATTCACACCGAACCGAAAAAAACCGACATATTCGGTTTTTAAAATATGAGAAACCGATATTATCGGTACGTGTTTGGTTTATTGGAAAACCCGAGCCGTACCGACCCGTGCACACCCCTAACATATATTATATATGTCGTACTTTTTAAAGTAGATAACATGTGTCAATTTTTCACATTTGCACAAATATTAAAAATCTTAGAAAGAAGGGAAAAGAAAAAGAAAAACTAAAATTTACATTTGTCGACTAATTACAAATTAAAACTAAAAAAGAATTGATTACAATACCGGAATTCCAAAGTTTGCAAAAAGAAAAAAAATAGCAAAAAAATCTTTAAAACAAATATTATGAAATGAATATAATGATTAAATGGGAATTATTTTTATCCTATCTGATTGATTTAACAATACAATTCTTGTGCCACTAATTAATTTCCAATAACATATTAGGGAAAGTGAAGCCATGAATTTCATGAAGCAATTCAATTAGTAAATCCGAACACTAAATATGCCATTAGTCTTGAGATCAACAAAACAAATAAGATAATACCTATAAAGAGGCAACAAACAGCAAAAGCATTAGAAGGAGAAAAAAGAAAAAGAAAAGAACGTAGTTGTTGCACAAAAAGTGGCGAAATCATAATCCTACTACTGGACGGCCGAATATACAGTAAAGAAATATTGTAAAAATAAATTAATGACAACAATGATTGTTCTAAGAGTGGTGGTGTAGAATATTGTTACGTGGTGAGTTTAGATTTTCAATGGTTCGGTGAAATTACATACCAATCGCTCATTAATTCAAGCTTTAACTAAATCATAAAATTTATACACCAAAGAGGTATATACATTCACTCTTATTCAATTTCTACTTGAGTTGCCATTCCCATGAACCGAGCAAGCACAATTCGAAAGCCCAATATCCTCTGCAAGACAAAGCCGTCGAACTTCTCCAGATCCATACCAAATCTCTCTCTTTCGAGTAAGATCGCTCAAAAAATCATCCAACATTTTAACTGTCACATGAGGCATCACAATAACATGGGCCATTTTACCGTCAACCGAAAGTTGCCAATGATAGATGAACTCAAGATCAAGAGGACGCTCGAAAACAACCAAAATGTTCGATTCGTTAAGCATAACACTAATTCCCGCATTTTTAAGTCCATCTCTCAAGTACCTAGCATTCATCAAGCACTTGTTGACTTCTTTCTGAAGTCCCATGCGACCTAATTTCATGTTTAAACTGTACCATATGAAGATCGGTGCGTGCCCATTTCGACTTCCGGAGATTGTATTGTCCACTGTGGCAATGTATTCAATGTTTCTCGAGAAATCGGCGATATGCCTTTTCCTTGTCATGAACACGCCGCAAGGCATTGACGAGCCCAATAGTTTATGGGCTGAGACGCTAACGCTCCCAATAGGCTTCTTGAAACTAAATTTTGGTCCCTATTAAAGATTGGAACCAAAATGTTTTGTGTGAAATGCACGAAAAATATATTTGAAGAGGTTGCATGAAAATGAAGATATGTACATGCCATGCATCGATCTAGAGTTGGAAACTAGAACAAAATTTTAAAATACGTGATTCTCGTTCAATAATTGTTCACTAATTTTAATTATTTAATATAATTCCAAAAAATCCAGACTTCCAATTTCATTTTTAATATCAATGTCTAAGTTTTTTTTAATATGTACAATGTGGATAAATAATAGGATTTTTAAATTTCAGTAATTCCACAATTTTGATTTAAATATCAATTTCACATTTTTTTAATATTTGTAGAACAAAATTTGAACTAGTTTTTTTTACCTATTTTTCTTTTTCGAAAATGCTTATTTTTTAAAATCTATAAATATTACTAGTTTAGGCACACGAAACCTTGGGGACCCTGAAAAATTAAAGCAAAGTTGTAATATCTACAAAACTTATGTTTTGCGTACACTTTCATAAATACTTGGTAAATAAAAAAAATTAGAATTATTTTTTACGAGTTTTTGAGGCGGTGCACTTTTAAAATTCTCTAAATTCACCGTTGCAAGTATAGACACACACACACACACACACACATGGAGAGATGATATGTACGTATATACATTTTCAAGAAAAGGAGAGATGAGCCCATATAATGCTGCATCACAATGTATGTAAAATCGATCGCGTGAGAAGTCACATTCCTCTAAGGTCTTTAGGACAAGGTCAAGGTTGTCGACACCTCCTTTGAAAGTTGTCCCTACAAACTCAACATATTTCTCAAAATCTTATATTAATTTTAGAGTCCAAACATATTAGAAAAATAGATAAGAAATGACATTAATAATTATGGAATTGTGACACTGTAATAATTTAATGATCATACCTATATTAAGATTAATGATGGCAGGTTTATCCTTGTTGGCAAATAGCTTTTCTCTTAGATCCATGCAATCTATCTCCCCAGTAATTAAGGTACCTATTATTTGGCACTCCATTCTGCAAATTCTTGCTGCTTTAAATATAGAGTAGTGTGATTCTTTTGATGCGTATAAAATTCCATCCGGTAGTAAATCCCTCCTGCAATAACTTGCTAACAATTATATATATATATATATATATAAAAAAAAATTGAGTTCACGAAGATATACAAATGTTGGACACAAATATGTTATTTGATACCACTTCAAATACATGTGGCATGCATGGCGCAGTGGCGAGTCCATGAATTCGATATAGGGGTGGACTTCAATTTTCGGGGGTTCGGGGGCAGCGCCCCTGAGATTTTTTTAGGATTTTTTTGAAAATAGGAAAAGGAGAAACGAAAAAGAAAAAAAAAAAAAAGAAAAAAACAAATTTTAGAGTTTTTTTTTGTATTAATTTGGATTTTTGGTGGGCTAATTAACAAAATTTGGGACTATTTTGTATTAATTTGAATTTTGAGTAGGCTAATTAATAAAATATGGGGCTTCTTTTGCGTTAATTGAAATTTTGGGTGAACTAGTTAATAAAATTTGGGTGGGCTAAAAATATGGTTTAATATAGGGGGCAAATTAAAAAAATGAGGGTGGGCTTGAGTTCACCCTTGCCCAATGGTGGACTCGCCGCCGGCAAGGGTGGACTTGCCTCTACATGGGCGGACCCAAAAAAATTTCTATAGCTAGATTTTTTCGAAATAATACGACCATGAATAGGTAATACATTTTGGGGTTCAGGGCACACCCCAAATAATTTTCTTTTCTAGAGGAATTCATTAAAAAATGCAAAAGTACAAAAACAACAAAAAAACAATATTGATTTGATTAAAAATTTAAACGATAATCTAATAATGATTGTATTTAATAATAATGATTGTATTTAAGATATTAATATTAAATGATTACCACACTAACAACTAAAAATATGTATACTAATTACCCGAGCAACAATGCTTGGAGATTGGCTTCTGTTCCACCATTGGTCACATAGCCCCAATATTCATCATTCTCAATCTCCCATAGCTCCGCAAACCAATCCAAAACCGCCACCTCAAACTTCTTCGAATGCAAACCGAGGTTACTTTCCTTAAACGGATCACCAACGTTATTGATGTGGAAGCGTAAAAATGGAGATAAATCCGTCAAACAACTGCAATCTTGGTTGAGATGATAACCTTAAAAAAAAATAAAAAAATTGATCGACGATTTAGTTTTCATCCCACAATATATGAAAGATGAAAAAAGAAAATCAGAAGGATAACTGAAATGACTATTATTATATATACATATATGTACCTAAAAAATGGTTAGATCTTTCAGCAAGATGCTCTTGAAATTCAGACAAGATTTTCGTCAAACGACGTTGTCGGTCCACATGACACTCCTCGTCGAATGGTTCCACCAGATCTAACGAATATTTCTTGTCGGTGACATTTGAAATATTATTTTCCATGTCTCTCTTTTCTGTGATTGAGAATTTGAGGGGGTGAGTCAATTGATGCTTGGATTTTATAGAGGTTTTAGCCTTTTACGTATACATACGGCTCAATAAATATGGTCACAAATTTTGGTATTGCATAGTTAATAAGTTCGAAAGTATGTGTTTCCCACATCCCTATCTAGAAGAAAATAATTGATTGTATTTCAAAAAACAAATATTTAAGATTTACTTTTCAAAAAACAAAGAAAATTAATTAAAGATTTAAGTGGCATGGCCCAAAATTAATGAAGTCCAATATATATGAGACCAAGGTACACACTATCAAAAGACCATGTGCAAAAATTCCAAAAGGAATACCGAATATGAATTCTAATATATGGGGCAAAATATGAATTCGTCTATGTGGTTTTAAACTTTTAATTGCGTTCAATATCATCCCTGAAACATAATTTCGCCATCAAAATTAATAATTTTGGCAAAATGACCATATTGCCCTTGCAAAACCCGAGGGACTAATGTGAAATCCAGCCCCAATGCACTTTTTTTTTTACCGAATACCTCAATATATAAAATTATATTTAATAATATTTCAAGAACATATGCGAAAAATATTGAAAAAATAATTCGGTATAAAATGGCCGTTACAAAATCATCATTCATCTCTATGTTTGTTTTTTCAGCGATTTGCATATATGAGATAACCCCAATGAGGACTTAAAAACACCTATGTCGAGACCAAAAACAGTTTCGCAAATAAATCCATTCCGGAATTTTTTTTCCTTAAATACCCTTCATGGTATAATTTAGATCACTTTCATCCATTAAACTCTAACTTCATCAATTGCACATTGATCCCGGATTTGAACAAATATATCACATTAACCCTACAATTCCATAATTTTTTGATTTTTTTTTTCCGGGAAAATCATTTTTTTATGATTTTTTTCCAACCAGTTTCGGGGTTGACTATTTTTTTTTTTTTTTTAAGTTTTTTTAACTACAATATTATTGCCTGGGACAGTAATACATACATTAATATTCAAGACAAAAACAATAATATTAGTATTCACACATTTTTTCCTAAATTACTGTGTTAGCAACAATCTTATTGTTTGAGACAGTAATATAATATTACTCCCTTGGACAGTAATATTACTGCCGGAGACAGTAATATTGCAGGTCAAGACGATAATTAATACATACATATTAATGTGCTAACAATAGTATTATTGTCCGTACAATAATATTGCAGTTAGAACAATAATATTAAAATACACGAGATTAATATTAAAAGTAATATTAATTTTCAAAATAAATAAATTATTTTTCAAAAATATTCTTTATTCAACAATAGTTATTTAAGATACAATTACCATTTACACCTCATGTGTTTTTTTTCTTTTTACTTTAAACAACAACTAATAATTCCTTTTTTTTTTTTTGATATGATAACAACTAATAATTCTACATGTTCAATTCGTAGCCCAAAAATCTATTTCTAATTTCACTGACAATTTTTCTTTTATAATTACTCTATTTTTATTTTTTTGATAAATTCAAATCCTATAGAGTTAAGAAAATAGGGGCAGCACATGATTTAAATCCTACATTTATCTAATGGTAAAGGTTAAATAACAAATACTTCTGTTATTTTTTTTATTTTTTTTTACGGGAAAATAGAATTTATTAGGCTAATGATGACAAATTAGAAGGAATAACATACTCCTCCAAATAGTCATTAAGCCGCAAGCTTCTACGTCGCCACCAAAAAAAATCGGAGCTTGAAGAAGCCCAAACAATTGATGGATGTGGTGGTGCGTGGAGCGCGGCGGCGGTGAATGATAAGTATGATTGGAAATTGAGAGGAAGAGTGGGAAATTGGGCTGCGACTATGCAAAATTGCAGAAAATTAAAGCTGGGAGATGAATTTTGGAACATTGCAATTTGGTCCCTCAACTTAAATTTTGGAACATTACATTATTTACCTTTAGGGCTGGCAATCGGGCCATGTGAGCCGAGCTTAAGTTGGCTCAAGCTCATATACCATCGGGCCTCATTAGTATAGGCTCAAGCTCAAATACCATCGGGCCTCATCTCTATAGGCTCAAACTCGGCTCACTTATTTTTTCGGGCTTCGGGTTTATATCGGGCTTATATCGAACAATAAAAAAATAACCATCTTTACAACTTTGCACTCGAACGTGTTCATAAAAAAAAAAGAAAAAAAACCTTCACAACATATAAGAGCGAAATGTAAAATACTCTTGAAGATCAAAATTGGTCTATTCCTTAAAAATATGAAGTTTAATATCGCAAATAATTAATCCTTAAGTAATTAAACAATAAAAAAATGCATGAGTCCAAATCGAAATGAAAAAACATAAAACTAATAGAAGCAATAGTCTTTAGATGCACTCCTAACTCTTTCCGGAAATCTTAAGACCTGCAAAAGGAAAAAGACCCAAGAACAAAAAACAAAACAAACAATATCAGTATATATTAATTTAATTAAAAAAATATTATTTACAACTTAGTATAAAATCAATGCCCTTACGAGAGAAATCGTCGTCAAACTCATCACCGTAGTCACACTGTATTTCACCTCCACGAATCCAATCCTGAGAACAAATTAGTGCTTCAACTGTAGTAGGGAGTAATGAACTACGAAACTTATTCAGAACTCTTCCTCCAGTACTAAACGCGCTTTCTGAAGCAACAGATGACACTGGAATTGCAAGAATATCACGAGCCATTCTAGCCATGATAGGATACTTTGCAGCGTACAACTTCCACCAATCTAAAATATTGAAGTTATCTTCTTGAACAATTTGGCCAGGATGCAGCTTCTCCTCCAAGTACAATTCCAACTCTGTTTTATTAATTGCATCTTCTTGTTCAGCAAATTTGTAGAATTCAGCCATCATGTCTATCTTCGATGAATTATCACCTGGCACAATTTCTTTAAGTATTTTTGAAGTCCCCTCCAATGGATTTGAAACTTGGCAAGTAATTGAATACTCGTCAAACAGGTTCTTAAGTTCACACTTCACACGATTTGTGAACTTTGTTGCCAATGTATTGTCATAGATTTTCATGTAGCAAAACTCAAGATACTTTAATTTGTATCTGGGATCTAGAACAAGTGCAACCGAAAGTAACAAGTTTGGTTCCTTATCCAGCCAATACTTCTCAAACTTCAAAAGCATATTAAAGGCCATTTTCCCCAATAACGTGCTAAGATCATTTGAGGTTTCACGAAGTAATATTAATATTCGATAGACCTCGCGAAAAAATACATTTGCTGTGCAATACTCACTCCCAGAAAATATCTTAGTGACAATATTAAAGGTCTCCAAGAACTTGTGAATTACAGAAGCTTTCTCCCAATCTTCTGCTAATGGTGGATCTTTGAATTGCATGTCCCGCGATCGCATACGATCGTAAGCCTTTCTGAAATGCAAGGCTGATTCAAGCATCAAATATGTTGAATTCCATCTTGTACATAAATCAAGAACCAACATTTTACCTCGTGGTATACGCTCTTGATCAGCATACTGAAGAAACTCAAGCTTTCTTTTCGGTGATGCTTTGATATACTTTACTGCCTTTCTAACTCTAAAGATAGAGTCTTTGATTTCTCCAATTCCTTCTTGTACAATTAAATTAAGAACATGACACCAACACCTTACCTGAAGATGACGGCCTCCAAGTAATAACAAGTCTCTCGAAGAATATTGCTCTGAAAGAATCTCAGCAACGATGTCATTAGCAGAATGATTATCCATTGTAATAGTGCAAATCTTTTCTATGTTCCACTCTACCAAACAATTCGTGATTATGTCTGCTAAATTTTCCCCACTGGCCTTAACTGGGACAATGACAAAATTGAGAATCACCTTATGTAGCTTCCAAGAATCATCAATAAAATGAGCAGTTAGCGCCATAAATGGCAATTCAGTCTTGGATGTCCATGTGTCGGTCGTGAGACAAATTCTTGGACTTAAGGTTTGTAGAGTATCTTTCAACCTTTTCTTCTCAGTCTGATATATTTTCAAGCAATCGCTCTTTATCGTATTTCTGGAAACAAACTTGAATTTCGGACATAAATTAAGAACGAACTTCCTAAAAGTTGGATCGTCAACAAAACTAAATGGCAGCTCCCGAACAATAATAAGTTCAGCAAGATCACTTCGACTTTTCACTTGATCAAATTGCCAAGAAACCATTCTAGCATCTTGAATTTGTTTTTTATCTTCAACATGGATAAGAGTTTGAGACCTGCCGACATTCTTATTAGTTTGCATCTTCCGATAGATCGGACATTTTAACTCGGTGATATGACGGAGTAAGTGTGTCGTTCCACCTTTGCTCGGACAAGAAAACGCCTTTTTGCAATAGTTACACTTGCATTTTGCTTTTGTTCCATCTTTGTTCTCAACTTTTGAGAAGTGATTCCAAACTTCAGATCTCAACTTTACCGATCTTTTTCTCTTCGTATCATGATTCAAACATGTTGTCGTAGTATCTTCCTCGACCATATCTACATCTTCATTGGTTGGTACCTAATGAATAATTATTAGCACAAAATAATGGTCAGACCATATATTATTGAGGAATAATAACTTCAGTCATGTAGTTTACCACTCAATTTCATTATTTAAAAATATATATTCATTGTATTTAAATCTATTGCAAAAAAGTACTATATATTACCAAAAAAAAACACTTAAGCAGTTCAAACCAATGCCAGGACTACAATATATGCTATCTTTTGATGTCATAAACTAGGAGTCCAGGATATAAATTTGTAAGAAAAAAAATGGAAATACAAACTCAATAAAACCCTTAATTTTCGTCAAACACTGGAAATACAAACTCAATAAAAATTGAAATACAAACTCAAAAAAAATAATGACCCAATTTTCGTTGAACTGTGGAGATAAGTCTTCAAAGTTATATCTAATACCTTTTGATATCACAAACTGGAATCAACTACAATAATCCCAGGTTTTACTTTAATTTTCTCAGAATATGAAATTGTATTGAAGAAAAAAATTTAGAAAAAAAAAAGAATGATAAATTAAGATTACCTCCATTGTTGACATATGCAGAGAAACCCTAAACGTGATTTTTGCAAGATACTGTAAATTCTGGTTTTAATGTTTTATATGAATTAAGAAAAAGGTTAAGATACGGTTAGTATCTTTGATGTAGGAAAATTTTCATCTTCTAAAGATTGATTTTGATTAAATTTATAAATTAGTTACTACTAATTGAGTAATTGTTGACTTGTTTCCATCCGTACATATTACCTATTAGTTAAACTATTTTGCAGGATATATATATATATATATATATATATATATATATATATAATATTTTATATTTAATTATCAACTTAGTCGGGCTTTATTCGGGTTGAGCCATAGTAAGCTCAAACTCGGCCCATAGTTTAATCGGGTCTAATTAAAAGGCTCAAACTCGGCCCGGCTCATAATTAATTCGGCTTGGCTCAAATAAAATCGGGCCGAGCCATCGGGCTTCGGGTAGGCCCGGCTCAATTGCCGGTCCTATTTACCTTCTAGCATGATTTTCAACCATCACTTTCCATGCGCCTTAATTGGTTAATGCATGTAGGGCTGCGTGACCTTCTCCATCAACCGGTCTCGATCTTCCTGGATATTTAGTCAATGACCACCAAAAGTATTCCCCCTTTCAATTTCGACCAACCATAGAGACTGAGTAGAAGTTTTTATCCAAAAAATAACCTTTACCTCACCCTCCGGTGGTTGATTCCAAACGGCTTTGTGTGAGGGTTACCTCACCCTCCGATAGTCGGTTGTATTTTGCGTTGCAAGTCGACAACAAAATTCTTACACCAGCTCACGAGGTCTTCTATTTGTATTTTTATTACACTTATTTCGACATCCTTGGATGAAATCCTGGATCCGTCACTGTCTAAAGCAGCTAACAAATTCATGCCTTCTATTATTATTTTTTTAATATTATTTATGATCATATTAACCTTATAATATTACTTCAAATCATATTAATAAATAAGTTGCTTTATGGTATATATTTAGTGCAATCCTACCAAATAAAATAAAAGAAGTAAAATAAATGACATTGTTTACAAAGACTTTAAGAGCTTATTGCAAATACTACCCATGTGTTATCTCTAATTGGCAAATAACCCCCTACGATAAAAAAACTCACCAACACCCCCTTATGTTAACAATTTCGAAGCACACTGCACCCTTGTGATTTTAGCATTTGACTGAAGGTAAAATGACAAAAATGTCCTAGTGGGTTTTTCAGCAATTAATAATACATATTATAATTTTATAGATATTATATATTGTTTTTATTTTGTAAATATTAAAAAAAAAAATACATTTAAACCAGAATAATATATATACCGTAACATTAATTTTATTTTATATGTTTTCAATTTTTTTTTTATTAGATAAAGAAAAGAAAAGAAAAAATAAAAAATTAGCCTTCTTCCCCACCCTCCCACCCAAAGTCCTAACTCGCAGCACTCATCCACCATTTCTCCACCCGGCGCCGCTTCTGCTCCGCCGCTGCTCACCACCATCTCACCTCTCCTTCACCACCACACCATCTTCTCTAGATCCGCCGCCCACTAATCAATTTTAGTTTATTGAAAATTTAGTTTCTACCAATAAATTTTAGGCGGGCCTCAAACCTTCCCCAATCTCCAATTTTGACGGCGGTGGTGGCGATAAGGAAGAGCAAGAGAAGAGAAAAGAACAAAGAGACGCAATTTTTGGACCTAGCAGGTTTGACCGTTATCAATGTCGCCGCCGTCGTCGAGAGAAATTGCTTGGACATGTTAGATAGGCTATTGCTGTAATTGGGACTGGGTTAGCCTCGGGTTGTACGGATTCGGGTTTGGTTTGGAGATTGTAGAAGATGAGGTGTGGTGGTGCTGACCTTCTTCTCTTTCTCTTGTTGGGGTTTTGGGGTGGGGAACGGGGAAGAAGACCGTTCTTCTGTCTTCTCTTTTTGTTTTTTTTTCTTTTTTTTTTTCTTATAATATTTTTTACATTATTATTTTATTTTGCAATTCTGAAAATTACAATTTGGTCCAATAAATTTACGTTATTCATAATTTAACCAACAAGATTATTTTTTATTTTATAAAGGGGTATTTATGACATTTCACCCCAAAAATACCATTAAAAATCGCACAACCCGCGAGTGAGTGACACGATTTGCCTCCAGGGGTGTCGATGCCATGACTTTGTTAACACAAGGGGGTGTTGGTGAGTTTTTTTTTCACAGGGGGGTATTTGCCAATTAGAGATAACACAGGGGTGGTATTTGCAATTAGCTCAAGACTTTAATGTTCTCTTAAAAAATGAATTACTTTTCATTCAAAATGGCAATTTCGAACGTTATTACATACTGAAATTCATTAGTGTTTACGATTGTTACTTACTAAAGAAGAAGAAATAATTTATTATTTTTCAATTTACTCGTACATTTTATCAAATAAAATAAATAGAGTTTTTAGTAAGTATTAGAGTCTAGGGTTAGTCCTACTCTCATTTTCTATATGGCTTTTTGCAACATGATTAAAATTGAAGAAAAGGGAAATAAAATATTAACCATTGTGTGATGAAGGTTGTTAGAAGAATAGCGGGTCGGGCAATTATCTGCCAATTACTCGACCATCCAATTTTACCGAATATTGAAAACCATTACCGGCCTAGCTAGCCATTATGGGTCGGATAATAATTGGTAACCAATTTTGTGGTATTATCGACTATCTATTTATTTTTTCACAATAATAAAATGTTTTTAAAAGTTTTTGAGAAGATATTTAAAATATTGGGAAAACTTATGGTGCAAAAATCGTAACTTTAAAATTAAGAGTCCTTTTTTTTTTAACTTCTACAATAATAAATATATAATGAAGAATATGAAATAAAAATTATAAAATAGAAATAGTAAGCCGAAGTCTATAAATTTGTGTTTCGAGTTTTTGAGTTTGACTTATTTTATATATTATTTTAACGTTAAGAAAATAAGAATTACAATTAAATATTTATAATATTTTTTTATTATTAAAAAAGTCGATTGACCAATATTACCCGGCTAATCGACTTTTGAGTAGACTGAAAACCACCGACAGCCTCATTATTATATGGGTCGGTTAAATTATCGGTCCCACATATCAACCAAAAAAAACATGTCAAAAGTGGATCGGTTGACTGATAAAACGTCCAACTCATATTATATTTCGATATATAATTTTGAAAATTAAATATCTGATCTCTTGCACTTAAATGAAACGCAGAAATTTCCACACAAAAAGTGTGCAAATGTAGACACTAAACACATAGAAAAATCTATCAAAATATTTAATTATCAACCAATATATATATATATATATATATATATATATATATATATATATATATATATATATAATCACTAGGAAAATATGACATCCTAGACAAAATATAATGAATACACATATCTCCAAGTAAATATTTCATATGATATCAAATTATCAAAACATTAAAAACATTATTACCAAAAACTCCCAACACAATTATTTCCAAATCTTCCATATTTAATTCCAAACAATCCCCTTAAACCCCTTATATATAGCAACACCATTTTCATTACCATATCACCATTTTATTTTCCATCTTTAATTTTCTTTTTAATCTCTTCATCACCTCATTATTATTGTTATTACCAAAGTTCGAAAACCATGACGAGGAAGAAAGTGAAGCTGGCGTTCATCACAAACGACTCGGCCCGAAAGGCGACGTTCAAGAAGAGGAAGAAGGGTCTGATGAAGAAGGTGAGCGAGCTGAGCACGCTGTGCGGGATCGACGCGTGCGCGGTCGTGTACAGCCCGTACGAGGCCCAGCCCGACGCGTGGCCCGACGCGCGTGGGGCGCAGCGCGTGCTGGCGCAGTTCAAGCGGATGCCGGAGATGGAGCAGAGCAAGAAGATGGTGAACCAGGAGTCTTTCATCCGCCACCGCATCTCGAAGGCGGCGGACCAGCTGAAGAAGGTGCACAAGGACAACCGCGAGAAGGAGATCACCCACCTCATGTACCAGTGTCTCACCGGAAAAGGGCTCCAGGGCTTGGCCGCGCCGGAGTTGAACGATATGGGGTGGCTTCTGGACCAGAATTTGAAGGATATTTATAAGAGGATTGATGGCCTCAAGAAGGCGGCGGCGGCGGAGGGGAGTGTGCAGGTGGAGCAGAAGCCGGCGGTGTTGGAGCTTGGTGGCTGTGTGGATGGTGCGCTGCAGAGGCAGCAACAGCAGCAGCAGCAGTGGTTTACGGAGTGGATGGGGAATAGTGCGAGTGATATTCAGCACCAGGCGGCGGCGGGTACGTTTGGGCATGGCGGCGGCGGCGGCGCCGCCGGCGGAGGTGGGGAAGAGATGATTATGCAGTTTAATGATGGGAATAATCATGCGGCCATGTGGTCAAATGTCTTCTTCCCTTGAGACAATTATTTGTTTTTTGTGCCCTTAATTAATTAATTTTCTTCTTGCATTTTATTTTTTTATTTAAAAAAAAAAAAAAAGGAATTTGTCTTTGTTCATGAATTAAGGTGATTTGGTGTTTTATATGTGTAAGTGAAATTTCATAATTTGAACAAGGATTATAAATTCAATTTACTTGTGTTTTATTATGTCTTACTAATAATTAGAGTGTTTATTTTTTTTTCTTCATGATTTTGTGGTTTATTTTAAGAGATTAAATTTTGAGCGGATCAGACGATATTTAATATAAATTGGATTCCACTAATTTTTTGACATGTGGTACTTCAGCCGATATTTAATATAAATCGGATTCCACTAATTTTTTGACATATGGTACTTTTAAGTTTTAACTCTTAATAAATCACGTTGATTATAATTATGATTAGAGGGGTTATGGGTTCTGCTGAGTTTTTTTTTTTTTTTTTTTTTTTTTTGTCTAAATTTGCACCCTTACTTTAATTGTGATTTAAGTATATATAATTCAGTTCCCGAGTCTCTCTCTATATATGATTTTTATATATTTCCTAAAGCATGTTTTGGGCGTTTTTACATTGTAATGTACGTGAAATTAAATTCGATATATAATATCATCGTCTTTTATATTTTCACGCGTAAAACGCACACATTTATGTTAGTGTGTATAGCACCAAATCTTTATTTGATATACATTTCACCAAATATAGTATAAAATTAACGAAATTTACGTTCTTGGATACATATTCTTTTTTCGGATGAAAAAACGTTACATATGGTGAATTGTAAATAGATGGGTAAATTATCAACATCCGCTTGTGGTAACATCGCGAATTGCAAAAATATCTCTAGTTTGCATAATTACATTTACGGGGTAATCCGTCTAACTTTTTTCCTATAAACTTTCAAGGTCAATAAGAAAAGAATCTTTTAGATTCCAAAAATATTCTTCCCAAAATTTCAAAAAAAAAATTGAGGGAAAAGGCATAATTTATCAAGCGAACGTCGCGCGCCAAGTTAGAAGGAATAATGGTTCCTTCGATAAATTGCCATATAATTGGCATGAGCAAGCTCATAACCAGATCTTTTGACAAAATTGAAACAACAATGGATAAGAAAAGGAAGCTAAATGTAAGCATTCTTCAATCAGGGTCCCAAAAGGTAATAAATAGGGACATGCATGCAAGTTATCGTCTTCCAGAATTATCGATGAACTATAATAATTTTAAGGGTAAAATAGCATTAAATCACCTTAATTATATCTGTTTTTTTTTGCGAATTACCACATCAACACAAAAATAAATTGCACGGGCACGCCCAAACTTGTTATTTCAGGCCACTTAACCACATACGTCTAATTATTATTGGGCGAATATTGGAATCATGGGCTTTTCGTATTTTCATCTGAATATGTCATTTGGGATTGAATGTTTTAAGCACTCATTGAACTAGATTTAAAACTTACCCAAATCATCTAATTCCCGTGAAATTCTACTTCAACCGGAAAATTTTACTTACATTTATTCAACCTCTGCAAAAAAATCCAAGAAACCCACAATAATAGGCCATTTTTTTTTTCGATAACATGAGGGCTAATTTTTTTTTTTTTTTACAATAGGACACATATTCAGCTTATTTTACTTCTACAATATTGCGTTATTTGAACTCAGGCATTTAAAGAAGCTGCCATGTCACTTTGTATTTTTTCAAGTAAAATATTGATGCAAAACTTGGGGAACATAATTATTTTAACCATATCGACATTTTTTTTAATTTAAAAACTTGATATATTTTAAATTTCTGAAAAAATTGGGGGGAAAAAACTTTAGGAGGGTTTAAAAATTTGGAAAACCTTCCCCATTTTGGAAAAAAAAAAAAAAAAAACCCTTTTTTAAAATTTTTTTAATTTTTTAAAAATTTCGAAATTTGGAAAGGGGGTTTAAAGTTTAAAAAAAAATTTTTTTTTTTTTTTTTTTTTTTTTTTTATTTTTTTTTTTTTTTTTTTTTTTTTTTTTTTTTTTTTTTTTTTTTTTTTTTTTTTTTTTTTTTTTTTTTTTTTTTTTTTTTTTTTTTTTTTTTTTTTTTTTTTTTCAAAAATTAAAAAGTTTGCCAAATTTTTTGGGATTTTGGAAAAAGGGGGAAATTTGGGGATTTCGGATTGGGGGTTAAAAAAATTTTTTGGTATTTCTTTTTAAAAAATTTTTTGGGAAAAAAAAAAAAAAGGGGATTTTTTTTTTTCTTAAATGGGTTTTTTGGGTTTTCAAAAAAATTTTTTTTAATTAAAAAATTTTCCAAAAAAGGCCCCCAATTTTCGGGGTCCCCCCCCCCCCCCCCCCCCCCCCCCCCGCCAAACGCACTCACCCAAACTCTTCTTTGACCGTGTGGGCACCACACATTTTCAAATTTTGCATCAATATTTTACTTGAAAAAATACAAAGTGGCCCAAAATCACATTGATACATGGCAGCTTCTTAAAAAGCGTGAGTTTGAATGACGCATAATTGTAGAAGTAAAATAAGGTGAATATGTATCCTAGTTTTCAAAAAAATTGGCCCACATGTCGTAGAAAAAAAAATAGCCTCCACAAGAATACATGAATCAAAGCAACACACGTACATAAACAATTTATCTATCAAATTTATGACTACACCAACAATCCTCAAAATTTGCCTACCGAAATAAAGATGAAATCATGAGAAACAATTCTTTTTGACAGGCAAGTGGAAATGGTGGTAGGGCTCTTCCAAGAAGCAAAGAGCAAGAAAATTTGAGAGATCGAACTATTGTCTGGATTCAATTGTCATATATTTTGCATTATGTCACCCACTGATCCAATTGCTTAACTTAAAAAGGAAAAATTGAACACATGAAGAAAAGACTGTCCAAGTTATCGAAATTCATGTCAAATAAGTAGCATTTCAAGAGAAATGGAGGAAAAAATCGAAGAATTAGGGATTGTGATTTTGTAGAAGAACAAATGAATTGAAGGAAAAATGATGAAGTAGAAGAGAAGAAATGAAGGAAAAGAAGGAAAAAAAGATCAAACACATGAAAATTCCAACGATTAATAAGATCGGGTTTGCTGATTTTGATTTGAAAAGACAATTAAGCCTTGAAATAGCCATGTGCAATGTACATGTAAAATCAAGGCCAAAATGGCATAAATATAAGTGAAGTGGCACAAAATTATGAGTTTGGGTGTAATCATACAACTTTTTCTTTGTTGAGGTAGTAATCGAAAAAAAAAAAGGGGTAAAGTTTAAATGATTTAATGCCATCTACCCTATTTTTAAATAATATAAAATATAGCCGACAAATGGTGTACGCATGTTTTCTTTAATTTCTCACACATCATTTTTAAATAACATTAATCTCAAATAGCAAATCTAAAACTAATGTTATATTTAAAAGAAGAAAACTCAAATTTTGATCCCTCGACAACAAACCGTGATCGTTTGCCTCGGACATAAAGTTACCCTCTATATCGACTTCTAATCCAAACCAAACTACGTGCTACTACCATCGCCATGTATATTGATATGCCTAATTGGGCCAACCCAGTGGGCCTACAAATTATTTACCTATTGGGCCACGAACTCAATATTGAAGACCACTATCACCGAGGCCCAATCACCTTCAAGTAAGGTTTGGGCCGACAATCTCAACTGAGTTATAATAATCATTTGAATTCATTCCTTAAGGTAGGTCCTTTTATCTGAGTAATACTACAAAATGTATATTCTCTGGACTATTTCTATGATCAGCACGTCTGACTTGAGCGTCGGAGGGGTTTCCGCCGGATCAACCCCCGGCTTAGTTTAAGTGTTATGTGATCGCAGGTATCTCAAGGCCATCAAGCTCGTGAGCCAGTGATCCACTCTGCTCTTCCAGCTCATCCTACTTCAACACTCTAAGGTGATCTATCTCTAGCATCATCATTTTGGCGCCGTCTGTGGGAAGGCAAACAAGATCACGTAGCGCGCAAGATGACCTTGAGACTTCTGCTCAGGGGAGTGTGACACTGCTAACAACCTCCCACCTCGTGGAGGCTCTGGCTTGCCACTTCCTCCTCCCCATGCTCGGGATCCACCACGAGACCCTCCTCGTGATGTCCCACTAGATCCTCAACAGGATCCACTTCTTTCCGCCCCTCGATCGGTTCAGACAACCGAGGAGGCCCTTCAACGCTAGCAAGGGTTATCGACTCCCTGGGGGCTCACCTCTGCCCCCAAAATATTTCGTTCGCCAAGGGTTATCGACTTCCTGGGGGTTTAACTTTCCCCATAAACATTTCGTTCGCCAAGGGTTATCGACTCCCTAGGGGCTTACCTCTGCCCCCAAAACATTTCGTTTGCCAAGGGTTATCAACTCCGTGGGGGTTTAATTTTTCTCCTAAACATTTCGTTCGCCAAGGGTTATCGACTCCCTGTGGGCTTACCTCTGCCCCTAAAATATTTCGTTCGCCAAAGGTTATCGACTCTCTGGGGCTTATCTCTGCCCCCAAAATATTTCGTTCGCCAAGGTCTACTTGATCCTCGAACGGTTCAAATAACCAATGAGGACCTTCAGCGTATAATCGCAGAAGCTTCAACAAGATCAACTTCTACATACTCCTCGAATGGTTCAGATAACCGAAGCACACCTTCAGCGTATGATCACGGAAGATTCAACTCGTGCTGCCACTGAATCAGTGGCACCATACATCGCCAAGGTTGGGCATCTCATCCCAAGGGTTCGTGACCGCCTCATCCTAAAGTTGGGGTCTATCCCATCCGAAGGTTGGGCATCTCATCCCAAGGTTTTGTGATCGCCTCATCCTGAGTTGGAGGACTATCCCATCCCCAATTGAGCATCTCATTCCAATGGTTGGACATCACCCTTACCTTTCAACGCCAAGTGGGTTCACATCCCATCTCAAGAGCGGGATATGGTCTCCCTACACCAAAAATAGAACATTCCCAAGGGGTGGACATTAACTACCAAAAAAAAAATTAATCGGGCACGACACTTTGCTTCACCAAATCGCGCGAGAATTTCAACGCGCTCTACCAAATCGTGTACACTCTCCAAATAAAAATTATTATTTCTCCACACCACACCAACAGTTAATGGAACACTACAGCACCGACCTACTCTCGACACGATCCAGTATCCTTTTCGACTTGGCTCCCACATCGAATCGAGAGTGGGGGGCTTGCGAGACAACTTTCACGAGGAGATAACTCGCTCGGTCCTATAACCCGTTGCGAGGCAACTCCCACGAGGAGCCAACTCCCTCGGGTCTACGAACCCAGAGCGAGATAACTCCCACGAGGAGACCACTCGCTCCGTCCTACAACCCGTTGCGAGGCAACTCCCACGAGGAGCCAACTCGCTCGGTACTACAACCCGCAGCGAGACAACTCCCACGAGGAGTCAACTCGCTCGGTACTACGGAACCCAGCGAGACAACTCCCACGAAGAGCCAACTCGCTCGGTACTACGAACCCGCAGCGAGACAACTCCCACGAGGAGCCAACTCGCTCGGTACCACAACCCGCAGCGAGACAACTCCCACGATGAGCCAACTCGCTCGGTACTACAAATCCGTTGTAAGGCAACTCCCACGTGCAACCACCTCGCTCGATAATAAGACTCGCTGCGAGACAACTCCCACGAGGAGACAACACACTCAGAGCGACCTCAATCCGCACGCTCCTCAATCGCGCGTCATCCAATGCTCCTACAACTTCGCTGCAAGACAACTCTCTCGAAGAGACAACTCGCTCGCAATTCACTACATAATCGCAAGCTCAAGTTAGCACGATTACAACCCTAGAAACACTTAGAGATATTATGAGAATCTATATAGTCTGGCCAGCTTGATAAATCAAATTTATCTATTTGTTTTCGACGGGTCCTTCATTAAAACGTGGCCACGGTCCAAACATACTTCCGACCCACGAGGTATAATAAGGGGCACGATCCCTATCAACAAATCTTGAGAGCCTGATCCACTCATCAAGTACATCACGCACAAGGTTATATGTAAACACATACAAGCAACGCGTCAAACCATTGACAACGTCAATAAATAACAACTCCCACGAGGAGATAACTCGATCCGCGCTACTACATCGTCGCGGGACAACACCGACGACTCAAGTAACTTATATCACGACAACTTGGTTGCGCTACGCGCCAACGCGTCTTCGCGCCCCTCCGACACACGCTCCAACATGTTTTCACACACCATCAGACCATACGCCAACGAGCGACTACTACAATTTCTACTCTCGACACGATCTGGAATCCATTCCGACATGGCCCCCACATCGACTCGAGAGTGGGGGGTTAATGATATGCCTAATTGGGCCAACCCAGTGGGCCTACAAATTATTTACCTACTGGGCCACGAGCCCAATATTGAAGACCACTATCACCGAGGCCCAATCACCTTCAAGTAAGGTTTGGGCCCGACAATCTCAACTGAGCTATAAATAATCATTTGAACTCATTCCTTAAGGTAAGTCCTTTTATCTGAGTAATACTACAAAATGTATATTCTCTGGACTATTTCTATGATCAGCACGTCTGACTTGAGCGTCGGAGGGGTTTCCGCCGGATCAACCCCCGGCTTAGTTTATGTGTTAAGTGATCGCAGGTATCTCAAGGTCATCAAGCTCGTGAGCTAGTGATCCACTCTGCTCTTCTAGCTCATCCTGCTTCAACACTCTAAGGTGATCTATCTCTAGCATCATCATATATGAATTAATTCAACAATCAATCTTTTCTGAAAGGGCCTATGGATTCTCAAACACGGGACAAGGAGTACCCGATAAGCACTAAACACTCACGAAGCCAAGTCTGAAAGCAATGCCTTTTGTGACTTGGGTTGGCTATGGAGTGCTGCAAATGGGTGGAACCAGTGTTCTAAATAACGGTCGTGGCGGTCGATATATCGGCCGCCATATCGGTATCGGTTATAAACCTTTACGATTTTGTTGAGGCGGTTTGGAATATCTGTTTTTTACGGCGAGGCGGTTTGCGGCGGTTTTTTGGCGGGTCAAACCGGTATATCGGTCAACAAATCGGGTTTTTTTTTTTTTTTTTTTTTTTTTTAAATTTAATTAAAATGAAAATATGTTTTGATTTTTTTTTTCTCCAATTCTTTCAACTTCCAAAACCAAACCAAGTACTACCCTGCAATTTATGTTTTGTTGTGTTTATATTAATTGTTGTTGCGAAAGACTTGCGTAGTATTTGTATTTCGTAAGAATCTTTTATTATATTATGATCTTATTATTTTTAAATTTTTGTTATTTATTGAGTAATTAGAATTATATAATAACATATGAATGATAGGATAGTATACTGATAAGAAAAAAAAAAGAAAAAAAAACAAAAAAGGACTGCTCGGTTAGAATTATGTTTAAATATTCTTTTATATAAATTTTGAGTATTTACAACTAATATTTAGAAATATATTACACTAAATTTAAAAACCGATATATTTCCGATTTATCTCCGAAAAACCACCGCCGGGCCGATTTATCGGGTGGCGGACCCTAACCACCACGTACCCGATAACCGCATTTTAGAACCTTGGGTGGAACATGCCTTTTGGCAATAACCAATTTTCTCAAAGTATTGATCTTATATTGTTACTTCGGTTACCACGAAATAAAAATATTTTTCTCCTTGTGTTAATAACTTCTATTTATCGGTGTCAACGTGATATTAAATTAAGGAGGTCTTAAAGGTTTTAATACCGATAATTTTTTTCTAAACGTGTTAGTACAATTTAATTTCACATCAAAACAGTTATATTTTTTCATTTTACTAAAAATCATTTAGGCAATTTAAGTAGAGAGCTTAGACTGAATATTTTCAATCTGCTATGTCTATTTTCAGTCCAAGTTCTTCAGCTAAACTGTCCACTTCCAGTCTACGATGTCTATATTTAGTCTAAGTTTTCTAACTTAAGAGTCAATTTTCGGTGTTAGTTGTCCAGATGCCCAAAGGACTTTTAACAATTTAGAATATAATAGACTTGATTGTTAACTATATAAAATATTGTTGATGGAATTTCGATTTTCCCTTTGTTCGTACTTAACTCTAGTTAAGCTGATTTCAATTTGTAAGTGTTGAATGACCATCTCAACCAAAAGCTTAAGCTGTTAGTGAAATGTATCATTTAATATTAATATCTCTAATACGCCGTTAGAATATAATAGACTTGATTGTTAACTATATAAAATATTGTTGATGGAATTTCGAATTACATTTAAAGTCTTGCACTTGAAATATTTTTAAATGGGTGGCTGTGGGATTCGAACTCTCAAGTGCAGGCGAATTACATTTAAAGTCTTGCACTTGAAATATTTTTAAATGGGTGGCTGTGGGATTCGAACTCAGGACCTTTCATTTGGCCTGCCTCTGATACCACGTTGAATGACCATCTCAACCAAAAGCTTAAGCTGTTAGTGAAATGTATTATTTAATATTAATATCGCCAATAGTAAGTTGTACCCGGTAGGGAATTCAATGCAAAATCTTTATTTGTTTTAGTTTTAATTTTATTATTATTTTTTTTATTATTATTATTAATTTTTTTTTTTTTTTTTTTTTGTATACTATTAATAAATTTCTATGATCCTTTAGCAAATTGGCACCAAGCTAAAAGGCAGAGAGTAAAGGAAGGAACAAATAAATATCTGGCGACTGGCAGTACAATTTGTTAAAAGCAAGAAAATAATTAACAATCCCTCCATAGAATTTTAGGATTCTAGAAAAATAAAAAGTGACTGCAATATATATTATTCTCTCCAATCCAAAGTATCCAATATTATTATCCATGATGTAATAAGTAAATGCCACTTGAAAAAAGAAAAGTACAACATACATCAACCAAAGCAACGTGCCGTACAATCATTTGCAGCTCCATCATCACACCAAATATACAGCCACACACACACACACACATATATATATATATATATATATATATATATATATATATATATATATGCATGCCCAATCATAAAGAATCTTGTTTTCTTTATCCGAATAATTCCAGGGGCGATCATTGGGATTTTTTTTAATGGAAAAACGTGAATTTTGAATTTAAGATTAACTAAAATGATCTAAAAATAAATGAGAATGCATGGGAAGTCGAACACTAGTAATCGGGTCATTGAAATGCTATACTCGATGAAATACATCTGGTGATTTTTAACTGTTGATATGGTGATTATGTGCAGATCAACAGTTAATAATTACCGGATATATTTCACCTAGTGTAGCTAGCATCAAATAAACCCTAGTAATTAACCGATTATTTTAAATATGAACTTATCTATATTATAAATTTGAAATTCAAAAAATTGAAATCCATTATATGTATCGTTTTTCATCTTGCCTCGTTGTGTTAAATTAAATTAAATAGTTGTTGAAATTAATTATCCATAGTTGTTGAAATTAATTATCCATGCATACTTATTTAATTGTACAGCCGAAGTACAGTAACAAGATAATATCCAAAAATAAAAAAAATTAAATGAAAATGATCATGGGTAATAAATTAAATCTTCTTTCTTATTCATGGTGTAATTATTGCAAATCACAACCTACAAAACCCACAGTACTAACAACAAGAGAGATTAAAGAAAGAAGAAGAAAAAAAAATTACATTTCGGAATTATTAACGAAATAATGTGGAATAACATATGTTTTTCGATCAGATGGAAAAATAAATAAAAATGAAAGCACGAGAGGAGCAAAATAATGAACTAGTGTGTCGTCTAGTAATTAGCGACGCCGAGTTTTTCCCATCTATCGGTAGTTAAAGAAATGAAAGCGGAGGCTTTCTTGTCGATTCCTGGCTCAGCCACCCACCGGCCTCTGTCCTCATCGCTCGGGTACACTTTGTAAGCATTCACGTATTCGTCCCTCACTTCTTCTCCCCGTTTCGCCCTCGACGAGTTTTTGCCACCTTTGAACATACCGAATAAAGAAAAAGATGATGAAGATTTCTTCTGCCTGTTATTGCCTCCCATTCTCTTATCTTTTTTTTAGTTTCTTCTTGTTTTGTAACAAGAGAGAGAGAGAGAGAGAGAGAGAGAGAGAGAGAGAGAGAGAGAGAGAGAGAGAGAGAGAGAGAGAGAGAGAGAGAGAATTGTGATGTAGTGAATGTGTTTGATGGTTTTGCAATGGGGGTGTAGAATGTATATATAGTGGGTATGGGAAGTGATCCAAGGGTGGGGAATCTAGAGGGTTCAAGAACCGTGGATTTGATTGATGGATGTTATTAGATGAAAGTGGTGTTTGCAAAAGTTATATTAAAAAAAAAGTTGGTGATTATGAGTTAAGTTAATATTAAGTTTTTATTTTTAAAAGTTAGAGGTATTTATAGATTTTATTAAAAATGAACTTTTAGAAACTTATTTTAAGAGAAGTTGTTACAAGGGGTGTTTTTATTTCACCTTAAAAAAACAACTTATTTCAAGAAAAATAGAAGCAAAATTTGATACTGCAAATACTTCTTCAAAACTGCTTATGAGCTAAAAAAATAAAAACTTAGAATCACTTTTCAAAAACTTTTGCAAGCACTATTGAAGGGAAGTTACATAGGCAAAAGTGGTTTAGGCAGTAATAAATGAAAAATTCTATGCTACATCTAGATATCTACACATAATCAGAAACATCCATGTGTATGTGTGCTTAGTGACGTCTAATAAACTTTAGCAAAAAAGACGAAATTCGGACCGCAGTTTCTTCCAAAGTGGAGCAAACATTCTTAATGGGAGGATGTTTATTTTCTTCTTAATACGACAATAAATCATTGACCACCCTACTTTTCGAATTTTCTCCCTCAAAATATCACACATAAATTTATTCCCTTTGATGGGATTTGTTATGTAAGTTGGGGAAAAAATCCCCTATTAATTCAAGAAATTATAACGTATCAAAAGATCTATAATAGTATTATTATTTTATTCAATTAAACATTAGTGTTTCAACTGCTCAAAAATCAAAATGTAATTTGTAGAATATGTTCTTGAATTTCACGCAATGTTTGACCACTTTTTGGAGCAAAACCAAATGGAAGAAGAGTTTGAGAAATAAAGGATTTTTTTATTTTTCTTTTATGTATTTTGAGAAGAGATAATTAACACTCTATGTAACAATTGAATCATGTCAAAATGTTATTTTTTTTATTATATTCAAAACATTTTTTTACTGCAGCAATCAAATCATGTCATCGGTCATCAGTAGAGAATTTTTTTTCAATAAATAATGAAATCCAACTTTATAAGCGTACAAAATATATTTTTATTAATTTATTCTCTCTTTATTTAATTAATTTACTGAAGTCCAACTAGTTAGGTACTTGAAATTGCAATTTTAAGTCGTCAAGCAAAGTTAATCTAGACCATAATGTACATAACATTCAACGCTGAGCTTTTATTAAATTAATGATTGTAATATCAAGCTAGAACCCTCATTGGCCAATTTACAGTTGAATGACCATTTCACCAAAAGTTAATGTATTAGCGAATTATATCTTCAGTATTATTATCTTC